TTTGCACGAGGGTGGTCCTTCCTGTCTCTGTCCATCTTGAACACCCTTTCTTCAAACATGTATTTATTTTTTCAAGTAAACAGCGGAGAGAGGTGTTTCGGTCGGAATCCACACACCCCATCTAGATCAGGGGCTTTCCTATTTTTCATTCCTGTCAGTATCTCACCTGTTTCTTTCTTTGATATTCCTGTGTATTTGTGATTTCTAAATTTCTCTCACACATTTTTAATCCAGTCTCTTGTTGGTTATGCTGTTTATTCTCAGACCACAATGTCTTTCCACTAGCACTGGAACTATTCCACATTATTTATTGGCTCTATTTTTTCCCCCTATTCTGCTTTTACTCTCAGTCTGGTCAAATAATCTTTTAGCGTCTCTCATGAAGAACCTGTTCTCTTGATACTGACAGCTTCGTACTGAACAGCTTTCAAATCTATGAGTTAGTGCAATCAGCTTCTGTTTACACTGCTCCTTCACAACTCTCACATCCCTTTTATGCAGCTGATATTTCATCTGCAGGGCCATTCACTTCCTTTTTCTCTTCAAATGATTTTTTCTCCAATTATCCAATGGGAAAATATCTTGGTGTAAAATCTTAATCTTCTGGTCTAACCTTCATTTCCATAGAGTTTCTTTAATATAGGGAGCTTTCTGGTGGATCACTTTCTGAGTTGGCTTGACGTTAAACTGATGAGCTGCTACTGTTGCTGTAGCATCAATTATATCTTTCAATTGTCTAATATTTATTGTACTTAAAGCTTCCAGGAGCGCTACATTCAATACATACATGATATCATCTAGTCTTTGCTGGTCTACAAATTTCATATATGGAAGTACTGGTCAGGGCTCTATTATTTATTTACTTGTATTACCATAGTGTCTAGGAGTCATAGCCGTGGCCCAGAAGTCCATTGTGCTGAGTGATGTACAAATACAGAAAAAAGACAGTTCCTGCCCCAAAGGCAGCTAGTAATCTAACTATAAAACAGGAGACACAGATAGATATAGACAGGTAGATGGGGGAGTATTAGGAAACAATGAAACAATGTTGGTCAGCATGATAGAAAATGATTAAATCCTGCAGCATTAAAACCTGTATTATTAAGTCTTTTGTAGACACCTTGGCAAAGACAGTTTAAGCAGTAATTTGATGTGTATGGTAGCTCACCCCAAGTGTTGGGGCAGCATGGGAAAAAGCATGTATGAAAATTTAAAAAGTGGGTAGAGCAGGCTGGTATCGTTAGCTGATTGGAGGTGGTAGGTGAGATCTAAATAGTGAATGAGAGATGATAGATAGGGGATAGGACAGGAAGGGCTTGAAATTGAAGACAAGCAGCTAATGTTTGATGTTACAGAGAAGAGGTGCTAGTGGAGGGATGCAAAAAGAACAGTGGTGTAGCCAAAGAAATGGCCTAGAACAATGATATTTTCAGCAGAAGAAAATGAACATTAGCAGGACAAGATTTCATTTGCCAAAGCCAGAGAAAAAGATGTTGCAGTACTCAACACATGAGACAATGAGAGCCTGGATGAGAGTTATACCTGTTTGGATGGTTAGCAAATACCGTATGTTAGAGATATTATGCAGCAAGAATCAGCAAAATTTAGTCATAACCTGAAAGTGAGGACCTAGAGAGTGGTGTGAATTAAAGATGACACCCAGATTATGGGTGTGAGCTACAGACAGGATGGTGGTATTGTCCACAATGATAAAAAGTAGGCAGAGAGCACAGGTTGGAAGGAAGATGAAAAGCTTTGTTTTAGTCATTCTCAGCTTGGGCTGATAGCTAGATATTCATGAGATGTGCAAGAGACAAGCTCAGATTTTAGTTTAGACAGATGAAGACAGGTTTGGAGTAGAGAGGTAGATCTGTGAGTCACCAGCACAGAGATAATAGTTTAATTTTTATTTATGGGTGAGATTACCCAGAGATAAGCTGGGAAGGGTGAAGAGAAGAGGACAAACGACAAAACCATGTGGAATCCCAACTGAAAGATGGAAGGTGGATAAGAAGGGGTCTCTGAAGGATACTCTGAAGGAACCATTCGAGAGGTGGGAGGAAAACCATGAGAGGATAGAGTCATAGAATGCAAGGTAGGACAATGTTGTAAGAAGAAGAGTATGGCTGACAGTCTCAAAGGCAGTTGACAAGCTGAGGACTGAATACTGATTCTAACATTTGACTAGCAAAATTCATTAGAGGCTTTGGTGGGAATACTTTCAGTGGAGTCCACGGGAAGGAACCCATATTGGAGAGGGTCTAGGGTAGAATTGGAGGAGAGAGGCTCCATACAGTGATTTTAAATGGTCCATTAAACAAGCTCAGAGATTAAAGGGGGACGTGAAATGGGGTGGTGATTGGAGAGGCAAGTAGGGACAAGGGTGGAGTGGTTTGTTTGTTTATTTAATGGTAGAGAGTAAAACATGCTTGTGTGAGGGGAAAGAACCAGAGGAGAGGGAGGGAGGGAGGGAGAGGATGAGAGTGGACACAAGGGCTATCAGGAGATGGGGTCACTGGGACATATGGAGGGGTTACTGTGGAACTCTTTGCCAGAGGATTGTGTGAAGACCAAGACTATAACAGGGTTAAAAAAAGAACTAGATAAATTCATAGAGGATAGGTCCATCAATGGCTATAAGCCAAGATGGTGTCCCTAGCCTGTTTGCCAGAAGCTGGGAATGAATGACAGGGAATGGATCACTTGATCATACCTGTTCTGTTCATTCCCTCTGGGGCACCTGGCATTGGCCACTGTTGGAAGACAGGATACTGGGCTAGATGGACCTTTGGTCTGACCCATTATGGCCGTTCTTATGTTCCTATGTTAGAGGAGGAGAAACGATGAGAAACTTTTGTGTATTTGACAGGGGAAGAGAGAGTTGTACCGTCAGGGTGTATAAACATTTGAATGAGCTCTCAGTGTGATGTTGCTGCAAAAGGGATAGCAGCATCACTGGATGTATAATCTGGGGGATATGGAACAGGAGTGGATATTGGCACTGGAACAATTTGTATATAGCCATTGAACCAAACTGTAAACACTGTATATGATGGAAACCACTTCAAGACGTGTAGCAGCACCCTCAGCACAGCTATTTTCAGCACCTATGGGGATATGGAATAGGAGTAGAGAGATGGTATTATCTCAGTATACTATACTGGTGAGATTGTTCCTGGAATAGTGTGTACATTTGTGGTGTCCACACTTTGAAAGAGATGTTCAAAATGGAAAGGGTTCAGAGAAGAGCTACAAAAATGATTAGAAGACTGGACAACATACCTTATAGTGAGAGACTTAGTGAGCTCCATTTATCCAGTTTATTAAAGAGCAGATTAACATGCAACTTGATCATGGAATATAAGTAGCTACACTGGGAAAACATACTTGATTTAAGAGAACTTTAATATAGCAGACAGATATGACGAGGCAATAACTGGATCCTAAAGTTAGAAAAACTCAAATTGGAAATTAGGCAACTTTTTGACAGTGATAGTAATTAACTACTAGAGAAGCTTTGATAAGAGAAGTAGCTAATTCATCGTCACTTGGAGTCTTTAAAAAACGTTTGGCTGTCTTTCTAAAAAATATGATTGAACCACCACTTGTAATGCTCTAATAATGCCACTTACACATTAGGGGAAAATAGTTTCCCCACTGCAGGCATTATTGGGTGAAATTATCTGCCCGGTGTTGTGTGGTAGGTCGGACTAGATGCTATTAGAAGTTCTTGACGGCCTTAAAAATTGTAAATCTGTGACTGATTGGTCATATACATTAAACAAAATTTACAGTTGCTTATTTAATTTCAGTTCCAACACATTCAATTGTTGATATTTTGCATTTTGCACATACAAAATAATGTTCTTTGGGCCAGAATCTGCTCTTATTTATACAGATACGAATTTAGAGTAATAATACTTATAATTTAAATAGCACTTTTTATTCAGACATTTCAAATAGTTTGCAAAGGTAACGTTGCCAATATTATCTACCACTTTCAAAAATGGAAAACTGAAACACAGAGGGCTTAAGTGACTGGACAAAGGCTGGAGCAAATCAACGGCGAGGTGGAATATAATCGCAGTTTAATGATTCTCGCTACCGTGTCTTACTGGATCAAGCTGTGTCCAGATTTACATTGCAGTAACTGAGATCAGAATCTGTCTCCCTCTATACAGCTACTATAGGTCACAAAATCTAGGAATTCAGAGAAACTTTTTCTTCCTGACGAGAGACTATCTAATCCTACACAATGTCGTTTAAAAAAATGAATCAAACAGTTGTGGAACCTGAACATACAAAATTTCACAGAAAACAAAAGAAAACGAAATTAAAATTGATGCCAAGCAGTTTCTACATTTTCGTATAGATTATGCAGTTTATATTTGCCAAATGAGTTACGATTCTACTTTCTCTTACACGAGATCAATTTAGCTGTAGTTCTGCTGCCGAGACTGAAAGTGCCGCTGTTGGCCAACGCGGTGCAGGAGCCGCTGCTGGAGATCCATAGGAGTCTCCTGCAGTGCGATTGCTCAGTAACACAGCACAGATCCGAGAGAAAACAAAGCAGGGCAAAGCTCTCACACACTTGCTGAGAAAAGAAATCCTCTCCGGGACTTGTGGTGTGTTACTAGGCAGAGAAGTTCATTTTGTTTACCTTAAAGTGACTAGTCTGGAAAACCTTTCAATGTAACAGGAATTTAAGACAAAGAATCTATTCAGACCAGACAGGCCAGGAAAGCGTATCGGAAAGTGACTGAGATGGAAATCGGGCACAGAGATCTGAGCCGGGCAGTCACAAGGCAGGTACTGTTCTTTCCCTTTGTATTCTCTTTGTTCTGCCGGGCGGTCTCGGAGCAGATTCGTTATTCGATTCCGGAGGAAATGGCCAAAGGTTCTCTTGTGGGGAATCTCGCCAAGGATTTGGGGTTGGATGTCAGAGAATTGCAGCAGCGGAAGCTCCGTGTCAGTTCGGAAAAGCAATATTTCAGTGTGAAAGGGGAAAACGGCAACCTGTATGTGAATGGCAGGATAGACCGGGAGGAAATATGCGGGGAGACACCCCTTTGTGTCCTGACATTCGAAACGGTGGTTGAAAATCCTTTAAATATTTATCATGTGAACATCGAAATACGGGACATTAATGATAACGCCCCGCGGTTCAAAAGAAACAGCGTTGATTTAGAAATCAGTGAATCGACACTGTCAGGCGCGCGATTCCCAGTAGAATCTGCACAAGATCCAGACGTTGGAATCAACTCGCTGCAGAGTTACCAGCTCAGTAAAACCCCCCATTTTATCCTATCAGTGAAGGAGACCCCAGATGGTATTAAGCATGCGGAAATAATTTTAGAAAAACCTTTAGATCGAGAGCAACAAAGTTCTCATCACTTGATTCTGACGGCTGTGGATGGGGGAGATCCATTTAGAACGGGGACAGTTACCATTAACTTTAAAATTTCTGACGCCAATGACAATCCTCCAATATTCACTGAAGAGATCTACAAGGTCAGACTGAGGGAAAATCTACCAAAAGGCTCCTTTGTTCTTCAGGTGAAAGCCATGGATAAGGATGAAGGGTTGAATGCAAAGATCACCTACACCTTCAGCGACATACAAGACACAGGGCGCCAATTATTCAGCCTAGACCCAGAGAAAGGAGACATTACAAGTACAGAGCTTCTGGATTTTGAAAAGAAAAATAAATACATGTTGGGGATAGAAGCCAGAGATGGCGGTGATCTGATAGGTCACTGCAAAGTAGAGATCGAAATTATTGACGAGAACGACAACGCCCCAGAAGTGACTGTAACATCCATGTCCAGTCCTATCTCCGAAGACTCAGTGCCCAGGACAGTGATAGCTCTGATCAAAGTCTATGACCGAGATGCCGGTGAAAATGGAGACGTCACCTGTCATCTTCAACACAACTTGCCTTTTAAAATAGTGTCGTCCTCTAATAATTATCACAAAATTCTCATAGACAGCACCCTGGACAGGGAGAGAACCCCGGAGTACAATATCACAATCACAGCAACAGACAAAGGCACCCCCCCTCTCTCCACCCAGAAAACCATCCTGTTGCAGATCTCGGATATCAATGACAACGCCCCTGTCTTTCAAAAACCTTCCTACACCGCCTATGTGCCAGAGAACAATCCCTCGGGGGCCTCTATTTTCAGTGTAAAAGCCTCAGACCGGGATCTGGACCTGAACGCCCGACTCACTTACTCCATCCTGAGCAGCAACCTCCAGGAGCTGCCGCTCTCCTCCTACATCTCCATTAACTCCCAGACCGGAGCTATCTATGCGCAGCGCTCCTTCGACTACGAGCAATTCCGGGAGTTTGAAGTGCAAGTGAAGGCCCAAGACGGCGGGTCCCCGCCTCTCAGCAGCAATGTCACCGTCAGAGTGTTTATTCTGGATCAGAATGATAACACCCCTCGCATCCTGTACCCTTCCCTCGGAGCCGATGGCTCCGCCTTGTTCGAGATGGTCCCTCGCTCGGCCGAGGCAGGTTATCTGGTGACTAAGGTGGTGGCGGTGGATGCTGACTCAGGACACAATGCCTGGCTCTCCTACCATCTGCTCCAGGCCACGGAACCGGCGCTCTTCAGCATGGGGCTGCATACCGGGGAGATCCGGACAGCCCGCGCCTTTTCGGACAGAGATGCTATGAAGCACAGGCTGGTCACCCTGGTGAAGGATAACGGGCAGCCGCCTCTCTCCGCCACAATGATTCTCAACCTGGTGTTTGCTGAGAACTTCCAAGAGGCTCTTCCGGAAATGAGCGACCAATCGGGTGACTTGGCACCTCAGTCTGTTTTACAGTTCTACTTGGTGCTGGCTTTAGCCTTGATCTCATTTTTGTTCCTCCTGACAGTTGCACTGGCCATTGTGATGAAATGTGGAAGGTCGATGAATCCCCCAGTTTTGCGATGTTTCGGTTCTGATTATTCCAAGTCGGGTCCCGGATTGCCCCCCAGCTACTGCGATGGGACTTTACCGTATAGCTATAATCAACGTTCAGCCGCAGACTCGGGCATAATGGCGTTTAGTCTCCTAAAATCAAATGGTCAGAATTTCATAGAAGAGAACATTCTTTGCAGGGACAACTCTGGAATGCTACCTATGAGCAGTAAATATGCGCCTGGAGACCCAAAGTCCGAGGCCGACACACTGCATGAGGTGAGATTCTGTCGTGATGCGCTAGTGTATCTGCGTTTTGAAACAGTTTAAATTCTAGTCAAAATTAGAGCTCTTGGACCTTTTTAGTAATACACTATTTGCTATAAGCGTTGCTTGACTAATTATCTTATGAGTACATTTTTATTTTATTTTCTATAATGCAGCTTGCTTTCCGTAAAGAACTTTTTTTTTAAGTGGTTTCATGTTCTGGTGCCAAGTTCATTGATGAGACAAGTTGAAAAGCAATAGTTTTCTGATAAGTGTGGAATATGTCATGATGCACAAATACCAAAAGAGATATAGACTATCACTAAGTAGTTTCAATGTATTATAATAATTGTCATGTTAAGACATTACTTTATTTCCACATTATTATATCTTTCTCTCCCTTTGACATGGAATGGGTATTAATACAAATATAAACATAAAGATATTTTTAATGTGCCTCATCCATAGCATGGGAGAATAAAGTGGCACAGAAATAAAAATAGTTACATAAATAGAAAATTTCCTGATAATATGATTAAATTATTCCCTAAACATTAAAAATGATTCTAGGGTAACATTTTAATTTCTCGGCTGATACACAGTTTACTCTCCCTCTCATTCCTGTCTTTCTTTTGCCCTTCTTCCTTCTGTTCATCAGTCTCTGAGGATTGAAGCATTAATAGCATATCTAACACAAAGCAACTAGGGATAAACGCTTGGTCACCCCAAAGGAATAAGACACAAATTTTGCATATAGAGGTAAGAGATGTAAACAGAACCTATGAGATATTATTTTATAGTCCTTTAGGAGACATTTTCTGTATCTCCTTTTCCATGCAATAACATGATTTCACAGGTATTTCATTTTCACACATCATTAAAAACTATTTGATTTATAAGTAAATTGAAATGCTAAGTTACAATAACTAAATATCCCCACCTGTATAAATAAGGTACTTTTGGTCTTGTCTCAGGAGGGAGCACCAGTGCCCCATGATCTGCATTGGCTGTCTTTTGATTTCTAAGTGAAGTTTAAGGTGCTCAAAATCAACTATAAATTCCTATATTACTTGAGACCAGTCTACCTGAGAGATCTTTTCTCCCCCTATGTGCGTGTGATATACTGGCCTAACTGGAATAGGCAGAAACACCAGAACTGGAGTGTAACCATGCCTCAGTGGGTCACAACTGAGGATGCCAAATTCACAATGAACTGCTGAGAAATAGGGCAAACACAACCCAAAACTGGTGGTTATTCTTTTATAAGATATACCAAACCAGCCACAAAAGTACACTCCTGTTTTACCACACTGGCTAACAAGAAAACATAAAGGCAGTTTCCTCAGGCATTTTAGTATTTCTAGCACCACCAAAAACACTGGATTCAGAGTTGAGTGGTTCTTTACAACCAATCTCATCAAATAATAGGTTCTTCTGATCCCGAAGGACCAACCACACACCCAGGTCAATATATAAATTAGATCTTACCCGAAAATCACGCTGATGCCAATCCCTTAGTATGTAAAATCTAAAGGTTTATTTATAAAAAGAAAGAAAGAAAGGTGAAAGTTAAAATTGGTTAAAGGAATCAATTACATACAGTAATGGCAAAGTTCTTGGTTCAGGCTTGTAGCAGCTATCGAATAAACTGCTGACTTAGGGTATGTCTACACTACGAAATTAGGTCGAATTTATAGAAGCCGGTTTTATAGAAATCGGTTGTATACAGCCAATTGTGTGTATCCCCACATAAAATGCTCTAAGTGCTCTAGTCGGCGGACCGCGTCCACAGTACCGAGGCTAGCGTCGACTTCCGGAGCATTGCACTATGGGTAGCTATCCCACAGTTCCCACAGTCTCCGCCGCCCATTGGAATTCTGGGTTGAGATCCCAATGCCCGAATGATGCAAAACAGTGTCGCAGGGGGTTCTGGGTACATGTCGTCAGGCCCCTCCCCCTCCATCAGAGCAACGGCAGACAATAGATTCGCGCCTTTTTACCTGGGTTACCTGTGCAGACAACATACCACGGCAAGCATGGAGCCCGCTCAGCTCAGCTCAGCTCACCGTCACCATATGTCATCTGGGTGCCGGCAGACGTGGGACTGCATTGCTACACAGCAGCAGCAGCTAACTGCCTTTTGGCGGTAGACGGTGCAGCATGACTGGTAGCCTTCATCAGCGATCTGGGTGCTGGCAGCCGTAGGGCTGCATTGCACCAGCCCTTGCCTTTTGCCTTTTGGCAGTAGATGGTGTATTATGACTGGTAACCGTCGTCATCGTACTGCAGTGGCTGTCAATCATGGGCACCTGGGCAGACATGCTCAGTCCTATCAAACTGTCTTGACAATGATGGCTATCAGTTGTAGTATGCTATTTTCTGCCAAGCGCCCAGTATTTTCTGCTAAGCACCCAGAAGAGGCCGAGGGTGATCTGGGTGCTGGCAGATGTGGGGCTGGCAGACGTGGGGCTACATTGCTACACAGCAGCAGCCTCTTGCCTTTTGGCAGTAGATAGTATATTATGACTGGTATCCATCGTCGTCATACTGCAGTGGCTATCAGTCTTAGTACACTAACTGCCAAGCGCCCAGTATTTTCTGCCAAGCACCCAGAAGATGCCGAGGGCTATCAGTCATGCTGCACCGTCGTCTTAAGATGTAAAAAATAGATTTGTTCTGTATTCATTAGCTTCCCCCTCCCGCCGTGAAATCAACGGCCTGCTAAACCCAGGGTTTTGAGTTCAATCTTTGGGGGGGGCCATTCTGTGTGACATTTGTTTGTGTTTCACCCTGATGCACAGCCACCTTTGTTGATTTTAATTCCCTGTACCTGTACGCCATGTCGTCACTCGCCCCTCCCTCCCTCCCTCCCCTGGTCCGTCAGATACTAGTTTCGCGCCTTTTTTCAGACCAGGCGCCATAGCTAGCACTGGGATCATGGAGCCCGTTCAGATCACCGTGGCAATTATGAGCACTATGAACACCACGCACATTGTCCTGGAGTATATGCAGAGCCAGGACATGCCAAAGCAAAACCAAGACCAGCCGAGGAGGCGATTGCAGCGCGGCGACGAGAGTGATGAGGAAATTGACATGGACATAGACCTCTCACAAGGCACAGGCCCCAGCAATGTGGAAATCATGGTGTTCCTGGGGCAGGTTCATGCCGTGGAACACCGATTCTGGGCCTGGGAAACAAGCACAGACTGGTGGGACCGCATCGTGCTGCAGGTGTGGGATGATTCCCAGTGGCTGCGAAACTTTCGCATGCGTAAGGGCACTTTCATGGAACTTTGTGACTTGCTTTCCCCTGCCCTGAAGCGCCAGAATACCAGGATGAGAGCAGCTCTCACAGTTGAGAAGCAAGTGGTGATAGCCCTGTGGAAGCTTGCAACGCCAGACAGCTACCGGTCAGTCGGGAATCAATTTGGAGTGGGCAAATCTACTGTGGGGGCTGCTGTGATCCAAGTTGCCAGGGCAATGAAAGACCTGGTGATATCAAGGGTAGTGACTCTGGGAAACGTGCAGGCCATAGTGGATGGCTTTGCTGCAATGGGATTCCCAAACTGTGGTGGGGCGATAGACGGAACCCATATCCCTATCTTGGCACCGGAGCACCAAGCCACCGAGTACATAAACCGCAAGGGGTACTTTTCAATGCTGCTGCAAGCCCTGGTGGATCACAAGGGACGTTTCACCAACATCAACGTGGGATGGCCGGGAAAGGTACATGATGCTCGCGTCTTCAGGCACGCTGCTCTGTTTCGAAAGCTGGAGGAAGGGACTTTCTTCCCGGACCAGAAAATAACCATTGGGGATGTTGAAATGCCTATCGTGATCCTTGGGGACCCAGCCTACCCCTTAATGCCATGGCTCATGAAGCCGTACACAGGCAGCCTGGACAGTAGTCAGGACCTGTTCAACTACAGGCTGAGCAAGTGCCGAATGGTGGTGGAATGTGCATTTGGACGTTTAAAAGCGCGCTGGCGCAGCTTACTGACTCGCTCAGACCTTAGCGAAAAGAATATCCCCATTGTTATTGCTGCTTGCTGTGCGCTCCACAATATCTGTGAGAGTAAGGGGGAGACATTTATGGCGGGGTGGGAGGTTGAGGCAAATCGCCTGGCCGCTGATTACGCGCAGCCAGACACCAGGGCGGTTAGAGGAGCACAGCAGGGCGCGGTGCGCATCAGAGAAGCTTTGAAAACGAGTTTTGTGACTGGCCAGGCTACGGTGTGAAACTTCTGTTTGTTTCTCCTTGATGAACCCTCCGCCCCCCCCCACCCGGTTCACTCTACTTCCCTCTAAGCCAACCACCCCACCCTCCCCTCCCCTCTTCGAGCACCGCTTGCGGAGGCAATAAAGTCATTGTTACTTCACATTCATGCATTCTTTATTAATTCATCACACAACTAGGGGGATAATTGCCAAGGTAGCCCGGGATGGGTGGGGGAGGAGGGAAGGAAAAGGACACACTGCAGTTTAAAACTTTAACTCTTATTGAAGGCCAGCCTTCTGATGCTAGGGCAATCATCTGGGGTGGAGTGACTGGGTGGCCGGAGGCCCCCCCACCGTGTTCTTGGGCATCTGGGTGAGGAGGCTATGGAACTTGGGGAGGAGGGCTGTTGGTTACACAGGGGCTGTAGCGGCGGTCTCTGCTCCTGCTGCCTTTCCTGCAGCTCAACCATACGCTGGAGCATATCAGTTTGATGCTCCAGCAGCCGGAGCATCGACTCTTGCCTTCTGTCTGCAAGCTGACGCCACCTATCATCTTCAGCCCGCAACTTGCTCTGTTCATCCCGCGATTCAGCATGCCACCTCTCCTCTCGTTCATATTGTGCTTTTCTGTAATCAGTCATTGACTGCCTCCACGCATTCTGCTGTGCTCTGTCAGCGTGGGAGGACATCTGGAGCTCTGTGAACATGTCATCCCGCGTCCTCCTTTTTCTCTTTCTAATCTTCACTAGCCTCTGTGAAGGAGAAACATTTGCAGCTGGTGGAGGAGAAGGGAGAGGTGGTTAAAAAAGACACATTTTAGAGAACAATGGGTACACTCTTTCACG